GATCCCCAGAGGTCCCTTCCAACCCCTGTCAGTCTGGGATTCTGTGAGACCTGTGTGGATTTGGTGCAGTTGGCAATGACTGTGAAGTACCTTCCATGCCACTTTGTTTTCTGCCCCTGTTTCAAGGGCGATTCAATTGATTCTGCTTCACTGAAGGTAGCCTGGGCCATGTTAGGATACACCCAAGTATGCCCCTGGGCTAGTGGCTGTTTCTTCTGTGTCAGAGACGAAGGGTAGTTGATGCTTTGTTTTGGGCTGTAGGAGCCTCATAGATTGTATTACAGCACTTGAATTTGTGGTAACCTAACTTTTTGCTACGTAATCTGGAGAAGAGCTGGTCGATCTGCTGCTACAGAAAACCAGTTATGACCTCTTGTCATTGCTTTTTTGGGCAACACTGCTCTCAATGCCTGCTTTTGGGATTTCTGAAGACATGTCTTCCAAACCCTCGGGTGTGGGTATAGCTGTTGTGGTACTACAGCATGTGTGAATTTGCTTTCAGTGTCCTCATCCCCCAAAGCTTTATGGCGTTTGAGCTGGTTTAAAGGAGACTATTTAGAGTTTTTAAAGAAATGCAGGGAGTGGAGTTACATTTGCCATATTTAGTGATCTTGTAGTAGAACATGGATGCAAGAGAAATAAGGGTCTCTATCAGAAAGGATATATTCAGTTTTATTAAGTACTCATTCTGAATGGAAGAACATGTATTGCCAAACTTAGTATGTTTAATACTGGTGGAATCTTGCTGTTCTGAAATGTCCTGTTTCTTTTTCTTCTTTTTTTTTTTTTTTTTAACAGTTTCCTTATACACCTTCGACAAGGCTAAGCAGTGCATTGGCACAATGACCATCGAGATAGATTTTCTGCAGAAGAAGAGCATTGACTCCAACCCCTACGACACAGACAAGATGGCTGCTGAATTCATCCAGCAGTTCAACAGCCAAGCCTTCTCAGTCGGCCAGCAGGTGTGGGCTTTGGTTTGGTTTTTAAGGCGAAGACGTTCTTAAGCCACAGGCGCACGTGTGTGCTGCAGGGATGTAAAACGCTGAAGAATGCCTCGGTGCCGGCGCTGAGCCGCAAAGGGCAGCTCACGGGCAGAGACTGTTCGCCGTGTGAATGGTTTCTTTATGAGAACTTGAACCATGGTGACTTTCACTGAGAGCATGAGCAGAGTGGTTTAAAATCTGCCTTTTCCTTATCTAAAGAAATCTGTCTTTGTGAGGAAAATCCCAAGGCTGGGGAGAGCTGGGTTCTTTGTTGTGGCCTGGTTGGATATAAGGATGGCAGCCCCTGGAACCTTCTGAGAAGTAACTTTTCTCTTCAGGGTATATGAGATAAAAATGGACACCAGTTTTAGTTCTCAGTAGCACCTTTCAAGTGCCGTGTATTTTCTTGTAACATTTATTGCTACTCCATGGACCCCAGTGGTACAATAGCTATGAAGCGTTTGACTTGGGGATTTCTGAGGGCTGATGTCCCTATAACAGAGCCTTCCTCAGCTCTGCGGCAGCTGGGCTTCTGCCTCTGCGAATGTCTGCAGTAGTCTCTGGTTTGCCATGTTCTCGGGACAGGTTGAGGTCTGTCTCTCATAGCAGTTTACAACTTGCAGGGTCTGAATCTAAAGTCAGTTGCAAATGTAATCGTGGAGGAAAGGAGTTGTGTAGCGGCAGCTTGCTGTTTCTCGTGATATTCATTCTGTCTGTCGTTGTTCTAGCACTATTTTTGAAGTGTCCTTGTCAAACTGAAGTGCGAAAGATCAAAAAGGTTTGAGCTAAATTGTTCTCCCTGCCTAGCACCAATGTTTAAAGGGAGAGGAAAATGTCAAGAGATGGCACGGAACATTTAGCCAGGGAGAAAAGGTGAGGGGAAGACAAGCTTTTCTCAGAAGGAGAATTTTTTTTTGAGTTTTCCCGATTGACTTCATGTTCTGCTACTTTTGATCCATTACTCTTTAGGTATGGGACATGAAAAGGACAGGTTCAGTTCACCAGACCTTTACAGGGCAAAAACTATGTGGAATTTGTTGGGTGGTGAACTTAGTCTTCAGGCTTTTTTCTCTTCAAATCTTTGTAGCCTTGTCAAATCCTCCATGAGTTAAAATCCCCTTCTGTTTTTTCCTTCGACAGCTTGTGTTCAGCTTTAATGACAAACTTTTTGGCCTGTTGGTAAAGGACATGGAAGCTATGGACCCCAGCATTCTGAAAGGAGAGTCTGGAGCAAGCAAAAAGCAGAAGGTAGGCTCACAGGAATTCATGTTCATTCCCTAGGGACTGCAGAGATTCAAGTACTGGCCAGATCTTGCTACAAGGAGGAATTTAGGTTACCTCCATTTGGAGAAGCTGCAGGCTTGTTTCATCTGGCTGTGTCTTTTGCCCCGGAGAAGATAAGGAGCGTTGTGTTCAGTTCAGTGCAATCTCCTGTGCTTGTGTAGTTGGGAGCTTAGAGTTGCACCCACTAGAGCGCAGAGCTGGCGGAAGACGCAAGGAATATCGTTTGGTCTTTCTGTACTAATTCGTGGAAACATCCTCTCTTGAGCTTATTGTCTTCCAGATATGTCCAGTTTTGATTTTTGTCCTTCTGTAGAAAGGACATGATTTTATTTTCTTTACTTGCTAGATCTTGCTGAAATGAAGCAGTTGGTTTTGAACTAAACAAAGAACTTTTAAAAGCCAATGTATTACACCTGATGAGCTGCTGCATTCAACAATGTTAGTTTTAGAGGGGTGTTGGTATTTCACATTCTTCTCAACGACTGTTGTAGTGGAGCCTTTGCTGCTGTTTCTTGCCTTCTGAGGTGTGCCTGGAGATGCCTAAGGCTCTGAAGTTGAGCCTAAGAGCTTCACGTAATTACTTGTTTCCCTCCCTTTTGCAGATTGAGGTTGGCTTGGTTCTTGGAAACAGCCAAGTTGCCTTTGAAAAAGCTGAGAACTCCTCTCTCAATCTCATCGGTAAGCTCCACTGTATCCAAAGAGATAAGTAATGCTTGAAGTTTGCTGCTTTTCAGGCCTCAGAGACTTATATGCCTCAGTTTCTTTTTCTGGTTACATCAGTTGACCTAATCCATTGAAAACTGCGTCTCAAAATGTCTCCTGGTATCTGTTTAGACGAGATGATGACTGGATTTGATCCCTTAGGAACCTGTGGCACCCTTTAGAAAGCAGTTTGCAGATGCTCAGGACTCTTGAAAACCACTGCACTGAGAAGACGTGATCCCTCCAGCAGACTTTGCTGCTTCTAAACAGGAGCTCTGTAAAAGTCACTGTCCTCCCAGTATGAAGCTCCACAGCTGACCCACGTACTAGAGCAGTCCTGTGGGTCTCTATGCCGTGCTTATCGGCACAGTGTGTCTAAAACATGCAGACCCAGAGCTGGGAGGAGAAAAGGTGAGTGTGACTTTGAGAGATTCTGACAATAGCAGAGTGAGTTAGGTGAGAAGTTAACCTGCACTCCTAGGCCTAGACTAGAAAGGCACTGTGGAACAGTAGCATCAGCAAAAAGTGGTAACTAGTTGAAATATTTTAATTCATTAAACATCAGAGAATGATATTTTCAGGGAGGCTAACAAGCCAACACCTCTTTAATTGAATTTAAGTAAAACGTGGGGGGAATGGGAAATCGAGAACTTTTTTGAATGTGTAGCCAAAACTTCAAAGTGACTGCAAAACTTCTGAAAATCCCCTCTCTAACGAGATCTCCTCTTCAAGGAGAGAGGGCAGCTTCTGAAGAGCACTTCAGTTTTCTTTACTTCTGCAAGTCCTGCTCTTCAGAAACCGATGGCGGCTGCAAAACAGCGCAGCAGGTTCGCATTGTGTGTGTTTCACGGTGCACGCAGCAAGATTATTAGCAAAACTATGACCTTTTTTTAAAAAAAGTTTCTCAAACCTCAGCAAAACAAACCTTTGTGTACAATTTCAGACTTCACTAGCAAAGAAATGGGGGAATAATTGATGTGTCCTCCTCACATTCATTTAGAAGGAAACTGGTGTAGAGCTAGGGGGGGAATCCAGTGCATTCCCGTAGTGCCACTGGCTTGAATGACGGAGACCAGGACCACCAAGAGGGCAGTGAGGGCCCCTTCACTGCAGTTGGCTTTGTGTGTACCCTGGGACCGTGGTGGCAGTTCTGCAGCACAGGTACACGCTCTGGTAGTCTGGCTATTCCTTTTCTTACCAGTGTTAGGAAGTGGATGATACTTAGCAAGCCTATGGTTGCAAATACCTCCCTTGCTTGGTAATATGGCTCTAGGCATTCTTTTCTGGGTGTGATTCAAATCCTGTACTTGAACAGACACTCTTATTTTTCTTTTTTCTCACTTTCTTTTCCTATTTTGTTCCCTCTGCCCGGAGTCCATGAGCTAAGACAATGTCTCCTTTTGCTGCTGCTCTTCCACAGATGAGAAGTGGCAGGTGAAGGCTGCTGTGAGTGGGGGTTCAGTGAGCCTGGCCAGCTCAGATGAGCTTTAATACTTCCTATTTTTGCAGTCAGCTCTGCTTGACTGCGGATACTCAGTGTTCATTACAGAAATGAAACCTGTGAGCGTAGCAGCCGCTGAGGAAAGTTCAGTTCAACTCATTCCGCGTGGCCGGAGCTTGTAGGGGAGGCTGAGTGTTGGTGCTGCCCTGAAGCGCCGTCTTCCCTCCAACGCGAGGCTCGTGACTTCACGTTCTGTCGCCGTCTGCTTCGCGTGCTGCAGTCGCTCCCCGCTCACGGGGAGCCGCGAGGCTGGTGCGGAACCACGTACCTTGCATCTTCTGTGGACGGTTTTGTCTGAAAGCGCAGCCCATCATCTGGGCTGAAAATGCCCCAGCAGAGGTCCGTAGGCTGAATTGTAGATGCCTGTAATTAAACATATTAACAAGGAGACAGGTTTTAATGAAATTTGAATGACCAATTAGTTCATACCTGTGATTACGTGATTACGGCCCGTTTAGTTTTTACGGTGTTTTGATAGGACAGCTTGAGGTGAGTATTAACATAATCCTGTTTATTGCATCAGAGCGAGCAGCGATATTTGACTTGGCTGATACTCAAAGCCATATAACGACCTGTGATCTTCCTCCTGTTGTGCATAGGTGTGAAGGGTGGTCCTATGGGAGAGCTGATGGATTGGAAATGGGAATCCTTCACTGTGATTCAATTTCTTTGCCTGCAGACAAGACAAAAGAGTTGCTTATGCCTCAATTTACTTCTGTCAGATTGGTGCCTTATTTAATCTCCTCATTGATCTGAGGCAGAGCTACTTAATGTGCTTTGTTAGTCTCTGGAGAATTGTAAAGTTCTGAATAATTAAATTCTCAGAGAGGAGATAAAAGTAAAGTGTCACTGAGCACTGCCTTCAATAAAGGGCCTTTATTTTTTCAATAGAAGAGAATTTTAATTATTTTTAAAAAAAATCAATTCTATTTATTCTACTTAGCATAAAATTGTGGGTAATAAAACCAATGAATGATGTTTTAATTCAATCTGCAAGAATTTTACCGTGATCAGCCAGAAGGGGGGAGTGTAGGCTAGGCTCTACAGGAGAGGAGCATCCCTGCCCCAGTGGTCTGATCTAAAAACTGTCGTGGAGCCGTGAGATAATAAACACACGGTAATCGGTGACTCAACTGCTCACTGCTGCCCTGCATGGTACCGTGTGTTAGTGCTGTGTTATATGTTCTGCCATGGTGTCCCCAAGGGGTGGGTTAGAGGCACGTTCTCGTTTGTTTGGTTTGCTGCAGCAGGCATTGAAGTATTGATCCCAGGTGTGTTTAGACTGAGGATTAGGAAAGTCCGCTTCAGCTAACACAGAGCTCTTATTTAGTGTATTTACGGGACTTCTAAATGATTGTCTGGCTCAGCTTGAAGTATCTGTAGAAGAGGTCATGGAACGAATCAGCAAAATGCACAGTGGTAGTTGGCCATGGCTGGCTTTTCAGGGGAGATAATGATCCCCAGGGTCAGCCCTGTGAAGCACTGTGTAAGTCTAAGAAAATACAGGACATCCAGTTTCTGCGTGAGTTAAGGATTATCTTCGGAGTCTTTGCTTTCTCTCTGGATTTTTGTGTTACTGTTGGTTTCACCAGTAGCTGAGCAAAGAGGTGATGCTGAAAGCCGTTTGCAGGCATCGATCTAACCGATTCAGTGCTTGTTTATAAATTCCCCCAAATAAACATCAGGTGAGACTACACGGATTTGACTGTTAGCATCTCAGCAGTATTCTTAAAGTAGCGTTTGTGCTTATTGTCTGCCTCCTGAATGCCCCGATTACTTTAGAGGTCTCTGAAAAGGGACTGAGGAGGTCTGCAGGACAAAAACGTGTGTGGTTTGTCAGCAGGAGGGGGACGAGGGCTGCTCCACTGCTGCATGGAGACTGCAGGACCTGTGCTTAGGGGATCTGGCTCAACTTGAAGTAGCTCTAGAAGAGGTTCTGGAACAAACAGGCAAAATGAACGGTGGTAGTTTACCAAGACCAGCTTTTACTCTTCTGAGTTGTAAAGGAACTAGCTGACCAAGGTTTTGTGTAACCTTGCTTAAAATTGCTCTTGTATCTGAGGACTGGAAGATGGTGATGTGCTTTCAGAGAATGATGTGATTCCAGAGAATGTCTGAAGAGCTACACAGCTTTGAACCTGAAATCTGTACAGAATAAATCAACAGAAACTGTAATAAAGAATTAGTGGATATTTTTATAAAGGTGATGCACTGGGAAGGGTCAGCTTGTCTTCTGTAAGGGCAGTCCTACCTCCTGAACCCACCAGCGTTCACTACAGGAATCAAAAGGCAAGGGCATAAGGGCTGATGTAGTCTGCTGCTTTTTCAAAGCTCTTCCAGCAAAGTTCTTTATCAAGGTTTCTGTGAAAAGAATCTAAGCAGAGATCTGAAAGGGATCCTTGTGTGAGTAGATGGGTGATGAAAGGGTAGAAGTAAATAGCCAGTGCCAGCAGAGTTCTGCGTGAATCTCTGCTGGGCCCTTTGTTTTTCATTGTAATTAGTGAATAATAGTAATAATTTCATCACTGTGAGGGCGGTGAGGCCCTGGCACAGGTCGCCCAGAGCAGCTGTGGCTGCCCCCTCCCTGGCAGTGCTCAAGGCCAGGCTGGATGGGGCTGGGAGCAACCTGGTCTGGTGGGAGGTGTCCCTGCCCAGGGCAGGGGGGTTGGAACGAGATGGTCTTTATGGTCCCTTCCCACCCAAACCATCCTGTGATTCATAAACTGGAAAAAAGACTGAGTAATGAGGTTGACACAGCTTGCTCTTATGAAGCTCAGTGACTAAGAAATAAAATGGCAGAGGAAATTCACTATAAATAAATGTAAAGTGATGTGTGGGAGGAAGAACCCTCCTAACTTCAGTCAAAAATGATTGCTGTTTTGGGCCAAGATCCCAGGTTTGATCATTTGAAGGAAATGCTGGACCCATGCTCAGCAGCAGCCTGTACTCTGTTAAGAATTTTTAAGCAAGGTTGCTAAGAATTGTTCCATAGTATTAATAAAGGAATATGAACAAAGCAGAGCATAATTTTGTACCTGTATTTAAGATACAAACAAACCACAGTGCATGCAGTTCCAGTTTGCCTGTCTGTCAAAGGATGTAGTAGAAATAGAGAAGACTGAGAGGAGAGCAAAGGTGCTCGATGGTGGAGCAGCTGCTGCGTAAGGAAGGAAGAACAAGTGAGGACTGCTCTGCCTGGGAAAGGCACGACTGGGGATGATACAGGACAAACCAGTCACCCCAGGTCGCCTGAAAGAGAGTGGATACCGCTACTATTTACTGTCTCTTCAGGTATAAGACCTGGGGGATGTCAAACGAAGCTGGTAGGAGCTGGCTCGGACACACCAAAGGAGGTGTTCGGTTGTGCCCTCAGCAGCAGATGTGGTGAGCTGGATGCTGCAGGGCACGCTGGGTGCGACGTTCACGTGGCTCCAAGGGGACCTCGATAAACTTGCGGCAGAGAAATCTATTGTGGATTCGTAAATACATAGGAGCAACGTGTGGCTCGAGAAATCCCCGAACAGGACGGCTGGAAGGCCGGGAAAATAGTTTACTAAGCACGCTGAGTCTGGTGAGCTGCCCGTGGCATCCCTGTCGTGGCGTGTCCTCCTGCCTAGACCTGGTGAAACCGAACATGGGGTTAGCTGGACGTGGGTCTGCCCTGGCAGAACTGTTCTGGCGTTTGTACTTCGACGTGCTCCGATTCTGCTGAGCTACAGGTTTGAAACGATTTCTTTTTTTTGCAGGTAAATCAAAGACCAAGGAGAACCGCCAGTCAATCATCAACCCAGACTGGAATTTTGAGAAAATGGGCATTGGGGGCCTCGACAAAGAATTCTCAGATATTTTTCGACGAGCTTTTGCTTCTCGAGTTTTTCCACCGGAAATCGTGGAGCAAATGGGTGAGTGTGATCTGGAGAAGCGTGGCTGGGGCGCAGGATGCGGCCTGTTTCTGGTTTGTAAAGACCAGATGTCAACTAACAATCTTACGACGCTATAACATGGCCATTGCTTAGCGATCTGGTAGACTAACAAAGCCTTTTCTTCTCCTGTTGTTCCTGAATGTCTTTCATACTCTTGTTACTTGGCTAGAGAGGGGGGACAAAGAAACAAGGTGAATACTCAACACATGGAGTGTCTGAATGACTAAGATACAGGATTTGGCTGAATACTTTTCTGCTGGAACACAAATGCTCCCTATTCTTTTGAATGCTTCCTTTATTCACAGCAGTGAGGCTGAATGCTCGTGTTCCTGACATACTGGCCGTGGGCTGTCTGTACTGTTCAAAGGAAATTCTGTCTTAATGATCCTCCTGCCTTATATATTAAATATCTGTTGTCCTGGCAGTTGCACTATAAACCGATGTCCTTCTCACAGCGTTAGCCCAATAAATAGAGTATCTTGTGTGATCTGTGCCTAGTGGGATTGGAAATGCTGGAGAGGATGCACAGGCCATGGCACGTCTCGGAGTTTGTGAAATAAAAGCACAGATTCTAAATATAACTTTTTTTTTTTGGGTCGGGGGAAGGGAAGGCAGTCCCATTACTTTGTAAACATGTGCTGGCAGGCAGATAAATGGTTTTAATTTTTAGTAAGCAATATGCAGCTGCAGATATCTTATTTTGTCACATAAAGTGGCTGGGGATGTTATAGCTGGTCCTTGTTCTCTAAATATAATCTCTGTGGGTTCATATTTAAACTTGGAATCCGTAGCTGTATGATTTCTGTGTATGTTTATATTTCTTGATCCACCTTCCCTCTCCCCACAAATGAAGCAATCAAGATTTTGATTACAAAACAGATTTTCATCAGAAGATACGTCCTGTTTGCGTGTGGCTGTGTCCGTTTTCCAGTGCTCGTGGAATTGATGTTAAAGTAAACTTCCCTGTGAGGTGCGTTAGGTCTTTCCTTAGTGATTTGAACACTTATGGAGAAACACTGAAGAAACCCTCTAGGCTAAATCCAATTAGTGTATGATTCTCTCTCTCCTGCCTTTTTACTTCATATCGATCTGGTAGCCGAGGCCTTCTGGGAGCTGATCTTGGTTCTCTTGGTTTTTGTGGCTGTGAGCAAGTCGTAACTTCTCTGCCTCTGCTTGAGAATATCAAATGCTTAAATTTGTTAAATATTTAGCTGCTCTGCAGAGAGAGGAAGTGAGAGCAATGGTGTTGGCAGTGGAAAGAATAGCTTTTACCGAGACACTGTGTTGTGTCCAGGTCAGAAATGTTGCTGACAGCTGGCCTTTGGATGGACCAGCACCCCTTACTTCAAGTATTTTTACCTTTTGAAGCAACTGTGATGTATATTCATGGCTGCAGTGCAGAGTCCTTAGCTGTGACCATATGTGGCGGTTAAAAGACTTTGGGAATTCTCATCAGTCTCTCTGGACTGTGATGAGAAATATGTTAGTAGGCTAGAGATAATTAGAGCTTGTTTTCATTTTGCTGTAGCTTCACCTATTCGACTTCCCTGGCTGCGCGCAATCTGGCAGCCTGTTAAGCAGTCGTGTGTCAGGCTACGATCGCGTCCCCTCGGTGTTAGCGTTAGCTGAATTAACCTGACAGCTGGGCACTCTTTGGTAACGATGTGCAGCAGCTAGCTCTGCCGTGGAGGAGCTACATCTCCATTGGGTACCTGTGGAGAAGGTCAGAAAACCTTCCTGGCTGCTGGCTGAGGCTGTGGAGCTGTTTGGCAGGGTGCGCTGCTCAGATGGTTCCTCTTCTTAATTGGTGTTGCTTAATACAGGAAGAAAAAGATTCTCTGAAGGACCACTAGTATTTTGATTACCCTGGGCAATGAATTAAAGGTGTGCTGTATTATTTGTGTAAATACATATACCATTACTTGTGTGTGTTTACACACAGTCTGCACAAAGAAACATTTTTCTGGTAAGAAGTTAGACTCCAAACAGAGCTCTCGAGCTCTCTGATTAACCCTAGGGCTAAAGAGCTTATCTGAAATTTGAAAAAACAAAACTTTCTGACATTCATTTTCTTTGCCTTGGTTACAACTTGCTCTTAACTATATTTCAGATCTGAAATGTCAGTGTGACAGCTGTTCACCTTTGCATATAATTTATTGGGAAAGGAAAAGAAAGAATTTGCTTGCTATCTGGTGTTCCAGTGCTCACCCATTTCTGGTTTTTGCCCAGTGCTCACAGACTGCAACTTCCATGCCAAATGCAATAAATATTTTTGTCCCATAACTACATAGAGGCTCTGTAGACCCTTGAAAAAATTACTTGCAATTTCTGTGTGGTTTATCTAACTTCGAAGGAATGTTCTGGGTTTGGAGCATATAAATCAACATTAGTTAACCATATCATCCAAGGGTGTAAATACTACTCTGATGCTACAATCTTTGGTTTATCCAAGAAAAGAAACCTTCAGCTGGTTGTTAAATCTTGCCATAGCTTCCTGCTGCCCTGGAAAGGGGCAATTCACTTCTCCCTACCCACGCTGTTCCCGTACGTGTATCTACCACCTCTACTGTGGGAGCTTTGGGCTGGTATGACCCAACTGAGAGCTAACACTACTGGAAATAAAACCCACTACTAATAAAAAAACCTTAGAGGGTTAGCATCCAGCTAGGTCAGCTCTCTGGTTGGCTTGATGTGACAGGGCTACGTGGGTGCCAGGGGCAGCAGGAGGAAGGCAGTGGGCAGGAGGGTAAGGTCGCTTCCGTGGGAACCTTCATCCGTGTAAGCTGGTCGCTTGTAAGGCTGCAGTTTTGCAGCCACTTCCTGGAGATCCTTTGGCATTACAAACATCGGCGATGCTGTTACCTTTCGCCTGATGCTTGACTCTTCGTGATCTTGTGGCTGCCAAGTGGAAATAAATCTGTATTGGGATGGGGACTGAGGAAGGTGTGTGAGAGGGGCACTCCTTTTTAGTGCTGCTGTGCGGCCTCGCGGTTGTACGGATGATACTTGTATGGAAGGAGCTTTACCCTTGCAGGGCACTGGTGGAGGTAAAGTAGCAGTCACGTTCTTTCTGAAGGACAGCTCTGCAAAAGCCGTGTTTCTAGGGAATTGTCCTCCTTTTCAAGCCCTTTGTGGATCTCTGTGATGTTCCAGCTCATAGTAAAGCTGTGGAACTTGGTGAAACGCGAACTGGTTTTGGTTACTCTTTGTTGCTGTTCAAAGCATCCTCTCACTCAAGCTAAAGCTCCTCCTTTTATTTGATAAATATTGTATTTTTCTAAACTGTTCTTGCAGATAAGTGCTTTCTTTACGTCCGGGTTAAATGCTGGGTTTTCTGTTGAGAATTTAAATTCAGCTCATTCAATGGCTTGTGCCATTGTCTAACATTAAGATGATTGCTGAATACTTATTGTAACACTGTTCTCTTTTTTCTTTTTTTTTTTCTTTTTCCTGACTTCGACACGTATTTAGTAGATTTCAGCAAAACTGAAAAGCATTTTCTCGGGCCCGAGAAGGAAATGCTAGCACTGAACTCCTGTTTTTCTTTTTAAAGAACAGTCCAGTATCTCATGCATTGAAACATGAGCTTGACTTTCAGCAGGGAAGTGATTTTTCTGACTTATGTGGCACATCAGTCGTCATAGAGGCTGCTGAAAAGGCAGGTTCTGCATTGTTGTTGTTACGGTTTAATAACAGGTATAGAAATGTCTGGTGTTACGGATCACGTTCCTTTTAAGAGATTGAAATGGCACCCAAATTCCCCATCCTCTCCTGTTACCATCAATATGTAGGTTAAATCAGACTTTTCCGAGGTGATTCCTGTTTTCTGGTAACTGTCTTAACTTGTCCTCTGACCTCTTGGGATCAATTGGTTTCAGTGCTCTGTAGTTTTGAAGTACAGCTCGCTATTTGGAAGTGAAGTATTAACAAAACACAAGATGAACGTTCAGTTATCAGATACTCAGATTTTATTTCCTTTCTTGGGTTCTGACAGTGGAGTCTTGTCTCTCACCCTATCTTAAAAATTAATACATTAATGTTCTTGAGGTACTCAGATACTGTAATAATGGAAAGGATCTCATCCAGTCTGTTCTTAAAATAGGATAATTTTAATGAAAAATCAGGGTCAAACATGTCTAACCTGTAACTGAGGTGATAGAGATGCCAGAACCTCCCAAGGCAGCCTGTTCTGCTGCTTAGAGCATCTTTACTGTTGGAATTTTTCAACTGTTTATTCTCAGTCTTGCAGCAGTTCATCATATATTGTTTATTTCTTTTATGGTTTTGGACAAGGCTTTTACATACTTGTCTGTTCGTGTTTCTCTTCAGTATTCTTCAGGCTAGATCTCAGATTCTTAAACCCTTTCTCACAACCTCTACATCACTGATTGTTGTTTCTCTTCCTTTGGTCATTCTTCACTGCGTAGAAGCGTGGTGACCAAAACAGGGCACGGTAACTGAGGCTGCTAATCAATTCCAGATCAACTGGCAGGTTTTGTCTGTGCCTCGGTGTACGTGCTGTTTATAATCCTCAATATCACAATTTTTTTGCTTTGCAACATGCAGTTAATTATTCCCACCCCAATTTAGAAACTTGTGCATCAAGTTACATTGTTTTTAAATGAATTTAATCCTGCCTGTCAGTGTATTTGTAGATCTTGGCTTTGTAAAGTGCAGATTTAATAAGTGCGTTCTGTTCCTTCTTCCAGGCTATTAATAAAAGCACGGCATACCAGTAAATTCAGGATGGATCCTTTCTCGTGGTGCTTTTTTTGGTGGAGTTTTTTTCCATCCGCTTTTTTCTACCTTTAACTTCATTCAGCCTGTGTTTTTCCTACATGTTTATGAAGATGTTTAAGACCTATTTATATCTTCATGAAAGTCTAAATCTCCCTCTGTTGCTTTGCTTGTTTTCTCAAACCCTCTGTGTCTGACCTCCTACCTTTTCCTAGAGGGAAGTTGTCTCAGGCTGATCTGAT